TTCGTTGCATAAATAAATGATTTTTACTTCGCCTCTTGTCAAGAAACAGAATGAAGTATAATTTCATCCATACACAAGAAATAGAGCTGGTCAAATTCCTTATTTCGGAACTATACTTTCATGGCCAAAATTGGGAATATTTTAATGAGATTTTTCTGTGAATGTTTGATGAAGAATCACTTATTCAGCTCAGTTTTGTGAGAAAGCAGTCAAAAAGCAATTTAGCTGACAATTCTTGAGGTTGTGTGGAAATTACATTCATTAACTGGCGTATTTAAAATTAGATCAACTGAACACTATTTAAAATAGTTCAAACTTTGATGCCGATGCCGAAGTTTTTTAATAATATTACCCAGTGACTCAGTCGTAACTACGAACTCAAGTTTGCAAGAAGCGCTACGAAAAGATTCAAGTTTCAGTACTATAAGTGGTCTATGTCAATCAATGAAATGCCATGCTTCTCCACAATTCCAACAGAGTATGATAAAAAATATATTTCAGTCGTCTTTTAATGATTTAATTATCTTGATCTATCTATCTTCTTCGAATAACGTTAGGCACTAATAAATTATCATATAACATTTCAATATACCATAACAACATTTAATATTTTAGCAATAATATACACACTTTTGCCCATTAAACAAGTTCAATTTATCTGTAAGAAGAAATGAAATATAATTATGGTTATAAAATAAATAAATCCCATCTATAATAAACAAATAGAGATTCCAACTATACTACCGTTTTTTTCAAGTTATATTAGAGAAAAACGTAATGTAAAATAACATAGTAAGCGAAAGTAATGGTCAATTAATCCAACTGCAACTCAGTTTTAAATAATACGGACTACATAGCAGAAGTAGCAAATCTGCGTTCGAAAAGTTCAGGTTTATCAACAACAAATAGCTACAGACCTAATTTAGAAATGAATGAATCGCAAACACGACATCGGCTTCCTTAAACTGGCGTGGTTAGGGATAACTAACTAAAATATTTGCCCGTCTAGCTTAATGAAGCCATTTTGCGGTCAGTGAGTCAGTCTGAATTGCGAAAATAACAGCACCGCAAGCTAGCCTCAATGAGGAAAATATCAACGTCGTTCGAAATGCTGACGTAGCTCGGGACGGCATTACTGCGAGCATCCAAGACATTCAAAGATCGGAATAGGACCATAAGCGAGAGCGAGAGTATCAGAGGAGTCAAGTCAGCTCGTTTTGATCAAGTTAGCAGATGCAAATAGCCAGCACAACGGATTGAAATTGATATCGTCCAATAACCGAGGAGATTCCCAAGAAATTCCACCTTTCAATGATCGTAAGAAATCGACCTCGTGAACTACAAGTGGACTTTAAGAAATGAACAGCATTACGGAAGTGAGAAGTTTTTATTGAATGAATCTATCGGCAATCTGAATCTAGTATTTCCAGAAGGGGAAGCATAGCCTTGAGGGATATTTTTTTCGGAAGATCGTCACTATTCCAAAGGCGAAAGTTTAAATGGTTGTTGGCATCTTGCCAGCTTCGGCATAAATTTTAAATCGTAATCCGAAATCCATAACCAAAATTTAACAAATAAAATTCTAGTTAGAAATCGTTCTATGAAGTCACTAAATTTGCAGGTGTTCCAAAAAACGATAATAAAATTGAAATTAAGAGTTCACCGTGTATTTTTGTGATAATGACCAAACTTGTTTTCTCGTGTTCTCTCCGTCTAACTCGAACCTTGAATTTAAGAGCTCTTCATCTTCTGCGTCATTTTGCACGGCATGCAGCTGGATAGCAAGTTTAGGTGCTCATGTGCTGAATTTTTCGGATTTTCATTAGCATGTGTTACGTATTTTATGTGCACATGATGTCCTATATTCACTTACACATTTAGAATGTGTTATTGTAGGACTAAATATATTGATACATATGTTTCAATGACAAAGCACGGATGATGCATATGTTTCAAGGACAAAATAGAAATTGATGTTATTTGTGAAATGCATTGAAATCAAAAGAATGCTTTGAAAAACCGCAAGCATAAAAACATTTTATTTGGAATATAACCCAAGATTAAAAATTCGTTCGGGTTTTCCCCATGTAGAAGAAATATTAATCAGTGATTTTAACACTGGATCAATAATATTAGTTATACAGAAAGAGACATGAGGATAGTTAAAATTCAAAACTCACGCTTTTTTTGTGTTCAAAAGGTTCAAGTAGAAAATCAAAATCTTTCTTCATAATTCTACGAACTGACAAGAGTTGCATTAAACATATTCTCTCATCTCAACGAATTCAATTGTTACTGCGATATCGAGACAGAGTTTGGCGGGAAGATGCTATAAGATTTGCGATGTTAGAACAAGTGAAGTTAGATTTTTCTTGCCTGAATTCCAATGAAAATATAGAGTATAATTTACCGTTAGATAGCAGGCCACTAAAGTAACGAGCAAACAATTCTCACAGCGGTGTGTCCAAGAGAGCACGCAACGGACAAATAACAATGAACTCGAAATATCAGGCCAAATTAACATAGGTTGGAAGAACTTGCAATAAAATTACAAATTCTGCGCAACCCTTTCTGACTTTTGAAAACTATTATATTCAAAAATACATTATTAAAATGGTGAAGGACTTGATGTGAGACACGGACTACAGGATAATACGCAAACTACAGCTACATAAGCAAACTAAGCTTGAAAAAGTTTTGCATTTCCTTTCTACAAGGCTATACGGTACAAATTTCGAGAGACACTAAGCTGCGTCGTGGAAATGCAAAGAGCCTTTTTAAATGCTTTGCATCACTGTTTTTTGGGGAAACACGGCACATCTTCTTTAAAGGATCAGCATTTTTGCTTGAATAGTAACAAAAGTTTTTTGAAGAATATCAAATAATTTCCATTGCCCTCTCCAAGCTCATATTTTTGTTACGTCTCTGTGCATAATTGTAGCAGTGGGAGAAAACAAAACTCGACATAAATTATAATCCATGATTCTGAACAGTTTCATTTATACTACATATAAATGCTTCGCTTTTGTTTTGCTTTACAAATGTGTCATTGGAGCATCACGATAAAAATTTATTAATTTACACAAGCATTATCTCCCATCATTTCGACACTAAGAAAGAACATAAGTCGGTAAATAAACTTTGACTTTAAGTCGGGCTAAACTTTGAGCGCGTGAACGCCGCGTAGACACTTCATTAGTTATCTCAGGAGCGGCACAGACACGATGACGATATTTAAAACCGATATTCGGGATTCAAAACAAAGCATCGCACGGCAAATTCATCAGCTCAGGAGTGCAGCGTGTGCACCTCCCCTGACAAATGAGCAGCTGAGCGACGGCTGAAGAGTCACCGACACGACCAGAGTAATCGCTCGTGAAATCTGCAGCCAAGATTGGAGGCAAAGGTTCTTTAGCATGCGGGCCGCCCTCTCCTCTAAAGTGACGGCTACGTGCTGGGAAAACCCTTCCTGGCATCAAACTTTGCGACGGCCAAAACTCCAGACTACAAGTTATGTTTGGAAACTCGAAATATAAATTGCTCCTCTCCCACATGGAATCCATAAAATTCCAGACCGCTCTACGATCGACCAGTAACATTATATGCAGATATATTTTTGTCGGCATTTCTCAGCTTAAAGATTAATAAAGATAATCCATAACATAATAAAGATAATCCACAACAGGAATGCTTCACGCAAACAACAGTCTATGCAACCCAAGATCAATTAAGCGTCAGACGAACTCACCTCGAGAAGCAATGAACTCAAAAAGAAGTCCACGGATAATGCTTCTAATATTCAAGTAACCATTATGCGGCCCAGGTAAATATTTTGCCATGAGTAATGGACCCCGCTCTACATGAAAAAATTCGTCAAACCCAAGTAAAAATTTCCAGTATGAAAAAGGCAGGCAAACATTATAGTATCATTTAATTTCAAAAGTACATACTTAGCGATAAGTCATGTCGTAAACGGAAAAATCGATCGAAATCATCTTGGCCAGCGCATTCTTTTCAAGAACAAATAGAGGCAAATAATAAATTTTTGTTGATGTTACGCAATATTGTCCTTAACCAGTGGGTAGCAATTAAATCGGTCAAAAAGAATTTTAGCTTTTGACGTAAAAATCCAAATACATTAATAAGAGGAGCCGCATTGTATCAGTTGGCAGTAAACGTTACAAGTGTTCTCTACGTTACTCCGGGTATTAAGCAGATCGTATCGATGAATTGAGCAAGTAATCTTTTACGTGACTCACCATTTCTCCATAACTTTCATAGAATTGCAACATAAATTATATCCAATAAGCATTGATTTTATACATATAGAGTTTTAAAAACTTGCATCGCACAAAACTATAGAATGTTACTCTTACATTTCACTCCATCTGCTAATTCAGGCGCATCGATTTTATCTTCCTTTCCCACATTTAGTAAAATATGTTAAAAATTTGCAAAAATACAACGAAGACCTAGGAGTGAGGATGATCGCACCTTCAGATATTTAATTACATGCTAATTACATGTAGCATTACAGACTACTGTGAGTCATCAAAAATCGCTCACCTATTTTTATTTTTCTTCTGTACAAGTTTGGTCTGATATCACAAGAAAACTAGTGCAGAAATCCAGGAACCACGGATCTTATATATTTCAATACGCAAATTTTTTTCCAAAATAACTGAAGTTTGATAACAAAGTATTCAGCAATCGAGCATTGAACAAATCTTAACTACGTCTGTCAATCCACACAGTGAGTATGGATAAGGCTTATTGGTCGAGGCCCACTAAACTTTACATTCATGTAAGACGATCATTGACCACATTTACTTTGATTAAAAAATGCACACATTACACATTTCATTTTAACTAAAAATATAACTTTGTAAAATTCAACTTAATTCAACTAAAAATGTAACACTAAACTACACTATAAGGGTTGGAGGAACAACCCTTCTCCCCTCCGTCACCCTGATATGTGCAATGCTTTCCGTACTCACAGGCAATCTGGAGGGATGCGTTGGCAGACCTCGCAGTGCCGTATCTGTTAGAGGCTTCGCACCAATACATCCCTGCGTCGCTCTCCTTCTTGCTCTGCCACACGCGTAGGAAGAATAGCGAGCCCGTGGGTAGCAGCACGCGGTGTGGGGACTTGGGCAGCGGTGCCCCATCTTTGTACCACGTAATGGTAGGGGGCGGACGCCCCTCTGCACCGCAGTTCAGCGTCACTGGGTCATTGCGAGGTACAGTCCAGTTGGTGGGGTGATCGATGATGCGCGGCACGCGCGAGTCTCCTGCATGATAGATTGTATTTAGGTTATAGTCACCTCAACCGATTACCCTGTTGACAACAAATTCTAAGGATGAGTTTTAAATTGCAAATAAAATCAAACAAAATATTAATTAATGAATATTTTGAGACGTTATAATCATAGTAATTAAATTAACTCAGATGAATGATTCGTCGAATCCTCATCCTGGTAAATAAATAGCAATAATGGGCAATTAGTATCTCTGTACCATTAGATACTCATACGTTCTTGGAAATAAGTTCAATACATCACCGCAAAAAAAAAAAGTATTTCAAAGAGGCATATATCAATTGCTCAATAAAAAAATTCCTTTTATACAAATTCAATATAAATTGATTTGGTAAAAAGCTCCTTTTGCATAGATGAAGTGTGGATCGTGGATGTATGCTTTTTTAGGGCTTGATCCCATATGAACTAAGCTTTTTTATATTTTCCTGACGGAAAAAAGTTGTTACCGCTTTATAGGTTAGGTTCAATTTTATAATAAAGTTTTACTTCAAATAAAAATTTACTTAAAATTATAAATAATTACTTTTATAATAAAGTGTACTTATAATAAAGTTTTACCAAATTTGGCTTATTCTATTTATTAGGCTACATCCGCCAGCATATTCGACAGCGTACGCAAGCCTTCGTAGCTGGACTGTATAGTGATAACTATAGGCTGCTTTTGCTCGTAGGTTATTCTTAACTTATTGTTTCTTGAATTTCATTTTGGTAAATTGACTATTTATTCATTATTACCACGTGACCGTAGTAACTAGCATGCATTTATTTTTGAGCAAATCGAGCAGATTCATCCAATAATTACAATTCATTCTTTTAAGACGATTACGTTCCAAGAAACGAGCGCAGTTTTGAATGTCCGACTCTCCACTTACACGTAGCCCAAGAAGCCAAAAAGTTTAAACGAATGCTGAGGCGTTGTGTATAGTCGTTGCGAGGTCTGCAGCGGCCAACACGCTAAAAAAGTTTTTTTTTCGTTATATTAATGTATCATACAAGTCCATAGTTTAATGTAAAGAAAGCAAAACTTTACATTATCTACGACCAATTTCTAGAAAGAGTTTTATCTAGTTTCAAAATTTCCCAATAAGAATGAACAATAAGAGCCTAAGCTGCAACAAAAGAAAATCGAGAAAATTCTCTCTGTTCATGAAGTGGTAGTGAGCCCTCATCTCAGACATTTTAGGCAGATTGTCAGATCTGATCAGTACTTTCTGGCAGAACGACGATAGAAGATGGATATATTAGGCAATATTTGGTAATTTCTAAGGCCCGGCAATCATCCATACGTCTTTCCTCGCATTACACGGGCAATGTAATGTGATCGAGTATTGCGATTGCGGAACATCGTCCTTCCACCGGAGCATCGCTCGCTATTATAGGAGAAAATCCGGAAACCTGGCACAGGATAGCCTCGGTGTCGTGTTTCCCGTTAGATCCAAATACCCTGCGGCAAAAATGGAGCGAAGCCCGAAACGGTCGCAGATACACTTCGTTCCCAGTTTTTCTTCTTCTTGCTCTAAGCCGGTCCAAAAAAAGTTAGACACAACTCAAATCGTTGCAAAATCAATATCTTTGCAAGTTAGGAACTGACTTTTGCTTCAAATTCTACGTATGCAATACATTTTGAGCTTTGTAAACCTCTTTAAATAAATGTTGAAACAAAGCCAGCCTAATCTACTTCATAAAAAAATTTTAGCGTAACCCATACAAGTAAGCACGGCTATAGGGATTAAATTCAGCCAAGTGCTCATATCTACTCTTATCATACTTAATAACAGCTTCATTACTTCATTATTTTCAATACACAGCCACATGGCAGCGCTCGGTCAATTATTATTATTGAAGCTCCTCTAGCCGCTGACTCGTGAAACTTGTTGGTAAGTTTGTATACAGACATCTGTATATAATTGCCAGACAGCTGGAGATGATCTTTCTAACCCACATGAAATTGGCCACTGTGGGGTCTTTAGTTTTTTATATACCTTCAGATGATTTGACATGTCAACTCCGGGCTACATTGGAAAGAAAATTATGAGAGACACTTGTCGTTCCGACATAGAACAGTTCAAATCATATCAATACCACAGAAGGTATTGATCATACAAAACTGCTGACTACACAAAGACAGCAGTAAACGTTCCATTTATTCAACAAGTAGTAGTAATTAAATAATGGAATGAAAGAATTAAAACATAATTGATTTAAAGCACCATTACGTAATAAAAATTCTAGGAAAAATTCCAATGTTAGGTAACACAAACGGGAAAAACTTTAACAGCACAGAAGTAACAATTCCAGTAACAGCGCAAACGCAAATAGATCTCAAGTACCAACAGCACAACAAAGAAACATTTGACAATAAACAGGAACAAAACACCAAGTTGCTTCCAAACAACACAAATAAACATTTCCACGCTTAAAACCTCACATTCAAGCAAGTCAATGGAGCCCGCCGAGCACTTCCAGTTCTGGAAAGGTAGAGCTTTCTTCCAGGGAATTTTTGCGCGAGTGTCACCAGAGAATGAAGACGTCTTCGATTTTAATGACTAGAGGGGTGATGGCGGAGTCGTTGATGGTGTCTATGGTGACTTTTGTGGATGCGCTCAAGAGGACTCGTCTCGCTCTCAACAACCCCTTGTAGCTCATAGAAAATTCTGATTTTTATTTGCATGAATATGAAGTGGCATGTGCTGCTAGCGAGACAACGCTGAGGGAGAGTAAAAAATGTAAACTTTATTTATGAGGAAATTCATGCCCGACGGGTGCTAAATTCAGCGAATGAACATGATGGAAACGAAATAATAAGAATGGATTACATTCATTCGGAGTGGACGTTTACATTTACGACTTATTTATGCCGCCAGCACTGAACAAGAAACTGAAGGAATTGTGAATAATAATATCCTAATTTTCTATACATTAGAATTTTCACGATAAAGAAGATAGAATATAGATGTTTATTACAAAATTGAACCTCCATCATAATACATTCTCAATTTTTTAAACATTAAAATCGTAAACTTTGGTAAAATTAAAGATAAATGAATTCTATGATGACGATTTAAAATTTTTTAGGATTTAACTTTACGTACAAAAAATCAATCCGAATAGAATCCTCGAAAGTGTTATACTTCCACGTGAATACTTCTTTGCTGAATAATCATAGAGAATATTTTGGAACTATTCTGGGATCCCGCAAGACAAAAAATATACACTCTTAAAGCCCATTCAACCTCTATCAGCATATGTCCTAATGACGTCGCGTAACTTCTTTTGGGTTGCAGATCGCCGCGGCAGAATTTATCATTCTAATATGCCGCTTGCCAACACACCTCGCTCTCAGTGCGGGACGCTGAGCGCTGGACACTGAGACGTGACTGTGTCAGAGAAGGGTTTCAAGATAATTTGTTCCACCTCTGAAGTTTCGGATTCGAAGATTTTGGTTTAACAGCAGGTTTTAGACGGAAATCTCACCTCCTTACTTAATGACGGTTACACTACTTATCCATTTGAAATATTAATCGTTAAGGTAAGAGCGCACCTGCATCCCAATGTTTAAAAGTTTATGATTGAAAAAGTTAAATGAACCCTGAACATCGTCGGGAAACGAAAAATAAATGACATTTTGTAAATCTTGTTGATCGATAGGAAGTTTCTAAACACTTACGAAATTCATTATAACAAAATAGTCACCGGAAAAAATCGAAAAGGCAAAAACACAACCGTAAAAAGTCGGCTGGCGGATATCATGCAGTCATATTATTTCTATGCACGAAATCTAAACCGAGTTCCGAATTAAATATTTACGACTATACTTTCCTATTGTTGATGTAGTTCGCAGACAAACTAAGTATATAATGTTAGTAAAGTAAGTATAAAAAGTAAAGTATAAACCCGATTAACCAGCCACACCATGTTAAGGTTTCAACTCTTACAGACAACGGAAATATCTTAACAGGAAAAATATTTATTTTAAAAGAGCGCTGTCACACATGTATAAGCCAGCACATGAAGCGTTCGTTATGCAAGCAAGAACTGGTCCAAAGAAAAGCATAAAACAATTTCTAACAAGCAATAATTACCTTTCAGTTATTTGGAATTTCAGAACGTGCGAAAATTTATTTTCCGATAAAAATTTGTTAGAAAAAATTCTAACAAAAGGAGACTTATTTATCGATAACTTTATGATTTTTTAGTTTGTTTGGAACTAGCCAGAGAGCATAGTCCTTTTGTTTCCGACGTTAACTCAACTTTATTTGGACAGATCCCTGATACATCTCGGACAAATCTCTGACTTAATAAGGACAGAATTCTGACAAGGCCCGGATAGAGCTCGGACATAGTTAGGAAAATTGTGGGACAATAACGAGATAGAAGAAGACGGAATTCTGAATATCGGATTACCAGGATTTTTCAAATTTTAGGTAATATCTATTCCGGGCAAGGTTATAATGTTTTACAAAGCCTCACATTTTAGCTCATATTCCCTATGCTTCGAACGGTCGTCGTTACCAGAAAAAAAATTAGGACATAGCGCTAAAAATGAATGGTGACGCTCATTATCAACAAAAATTAGCAACTCAAGCGTTTTTAAAGACCAAATTCTTGCATGATTTTTCAGTTGCCACATATTCCAGTCATTTAAAGAACTGACACGGGAGTACTGTACTATTGCAATCGCAGCAATCTCGATCAAAAAGTGTTTACCGCAATCGATTGATGACGGGCACAAAATTTGGAGTGATCCTCTAAAGCCTAAGCCAACAAAGTGTGGTCGCGCTCGTCACTTTGTGAGATCGAGCTTCTGCAGGCGACGATTTCCGATTTCTGTCGTCGGGCGGAGCTAGCTAGCGCTCGTCGGTTCGCGATGTTTACGGGAGAAATTGGACAGAGACTGAAAACAAGAAATAGAACCGAATGAATAGGAGTGAATTATTAGCACAGGACTTGACAGCGACCATAGACGCAGCCTA